CTCTCTGTGTGTGTGTGTCTCTCTCTCTCTCTCTCTCTGTGTGTGTGTCTCTCTCTCTCTCTCGCTCTAATCTCTCTCTCTCTCTATATCTATCTAAAAAGTGCAAAAATCAGGTTGTTTCACCTCTAGGTCTTTTTTGACACTTGTCTTTTAACCAAGTACTTAATCATTGTTATATGCTGATTTGATGCTCAAGAAACATTTCTTATTATTATCAATGCTGATTTTTTTTTTGTGTAAATAGAAAGTTCAGTGAACTGCATTAAATGCCTTTGTAATTTTTGATCAAGTTAATGCTAACTTTTGAATGTTAGGGTCCATCAACTATTTTTCGACTCATCAATTTCGAGAGAAAAAAAAAATTACTAATGTAACTTTGTCAAATTAAATGTATGGGTCTGAATTGCCTGTGGTTTCTAGGTTTAAAAGAAACGTTAATGTGTGCTGTTTGCAGAGACTGAAAAATGTCGTGGCTTTGGATATGTTACATTCTCAATGGAAGAAGATGCTCAGCGGGCCATTAAAGAAGTCAAAGTGTATGAAGGCGAGAAGATATTTGTAACTGTGGCCAAGAAAAAGCCTGATAATAAGAAAAAGAAGAAGAAAGTGAAAACAGAAGAAGGTTAGATGCTTGTATTTTTTTATTCATGGATTATTTACTCTTTTTGTGATCTGTAAGAAATGAGTCTGAACTGTTCATGCAGATTCAGAAGATACAAAGAAACCTCAGGAACCAACAGAAACCAAAAGTCCTGCAAAGTGTACAAACATAAAGAAGAACAAACTGAAAGCTCGACTGATCATCAGAAATCTCAGTTTTAAGGTAAGTCGACTAAATACTGTTTGTTGTATAAAGAACAAATGCGTAGTTTAGACTTTTGACAAGTGATATTGGCTCATGCACTGATGTGGTTTATGTGCAGTGTGAAGAAGCCGATTTGACACAGATCTTCTCCAAGTTTGGAACAGTGATTGAGGCCAAGATTCCCTTAAAACCAGGTAAATGTTTGACCAACAAATGCATCTGACTGTTTACAAGCAATCTCTTAAGTTCTTTGTTTACCTGATGTTTTTTCATACGGCCGTCCACCTTATTTTGATGGCATCATGTTTGTGCAGATGGGAAGAAGCGAGGTTTTGCATTTGTGCAGTTTAAGAACATGGCAGAAGCAGGAAAAGCTCTGGCTGCGATGAACCTGAAGGAGATCAAAGGTGAGTCTTCCCTTAACACTGAAGACTGCTGAAAGTTCAGCTTTGCCATCACAGAAATAAATGGCATTTTAAAGCGTATTAAAATAGAAAACAGATTTTTAAATTTGAATAATATTTCATAATATTACTGTTCTACTATATATCAAAGAAATTTAGCCTTGAAGAGACCTCTATCAAAAACATTAAAAAAAAATCTTAATTATTGACACTACTAGTATCACTTTTTTACTAAATGTGTTTTATTCCTTTCTCACAGACAGACAGGTGGCTGTGGACTGGGCCATTGCAAAAGACAAGTATCTCGCCACCCAGTCAGCTGGTGCGGCTGGTAATGTGTATTTTCATTTTAACTCCATCAGCATCATTCATTTATGTGGATGTTCTTGTAAAAAGCTTTGAAAGTGCATCTACCCTCTAGGTTTTGTAGTGAAGTGTATATGGATATCTTGTAGGAACCGTCAAAGAAGAGAATGTGAATTCGAATTCTAAAGGTGCAGGAGCTGATGGGAATGAAAAAGAGGCCAAGAAAAAGTCAGTACAGGAAGTGCAACGGATCTGATGATGTGTGTGAAGGTGAATTCCTTGAATTTAACATAAGGTCTGTCTTGTGTTAAAGGCCCACATCACAGGAAGAAAAGGACGACTCTGAGTCAGAAGAAGAAGAGGCGTCTGAGGATGAGGATGATGATGAAGCCAATAGCAGTGAAGAGGAAGATGCAG